CCTGGAGGAAACCCACGCAGACACGGGGAGAATGTGCAAACTCCACACAGACAGTCGCCCAAGGGTGCAATTGAACCCGGGTCCCTGGCGCTGTGAGGCAGCAGTACTAACCACTGAGCCACTATGCCGCCCTTCTTGGCCTCCTTGTCAGGTCCCCAACATCACAGATGGTAATTCAATTCACGAAATGATATCACGAAAATGAGATTGTTTACTTGCTCGCCGAGCTGGCTTGTTTTTGTTCAGACGTTTGTCACCATGCTAGGTGACATAATCAGTGGAGACTCCGATGAAGTGATGTTGTTCTACTCCGCTTGGAATTTATACTGTCCGGTCTGTTATAGTGAGTACTGTCATTTCCGATTTTGATCTGTATGGGTTTGTATATGGGGTCCAATTCTATATGTTTGTTGATTGAAGTATGGAGGAAGAACCATGTGTCTAGGAATTCCTGTGCGTGCCTATGTTTGGCTTGGGCTACTATGGTTACTTTGTCCCAGTTAAATTGATGGCCTTCATTGTTTGAATGTACCAATATTAAGGAAAGTTCATCATGCTGTTTTGCTGCTAGCTGATGTTCGTGTATTCTTATGGCTAGTTTCCTTCCTGTCTGTCCGATGTAATGTTTGTGGTAGTCATTGCAGGGTATTTTGTAAACTATGTTGGTTCTGCATGTTGTGGGAATGGGGTCTTTAATCCTTGAGAGTGTTGGTCGTAGAGTGGCTGAGGGCTTGTGTGCTACCATGATTCCTAGTGGTCGTAGGAGTCTCATCGTCAGTTCTGATACGTTCTTGATGTAGGGCAGTGTGGCCAGTGTGTTAGGGCGTACTGTGTCCTCCTGTTGTTGCCTATTTAGTAGGCACCTGAGGATGAAGCTGCGGGGAAATCCGTTAATAGCGAAGATTTTGTATAGTGCTCTTCCTCTTTCCTGTGTAGTTCTGGTGTGTTGCCAGGATCTTGTATAAGCGTTCTTCTTATACAAGATCCTTTTGCCTTAAATGGATATCCCCACAACTTCATCCACAGATGCCTATGTAACAGAAAACAACAGGAGGACATAGTACGATCTAACACATTTACCACATCACACGAACATCAGCTAGCAGCAAAACGGCACGATGAACTCTCCTTAATATCTGTACATTCAGACAATGAAGGCCATCAGATTAACTGGGACAAAGTAACCATAGTAGCCCAAGCCAAACATAGACACACGTGGGAATTCCTAGCGGTATGGTTCTCAACCTGTAATGCAATCAACAAACATATAAAATTGGACCCCATATATAAACCCATACGGATCAAAACTGGAAATGACAGTACTCACTGTAACGGACCGGACAGTATAAATTCCAAGTGGAGTGGAATAACATCGCTTCATTGGAGGCTCCACTGATGTTACCTAGCATGGTGACAAAATGTCTGAACATAAACAAGCCAGCTCAGCAAGCAAGTCAACAACCTCATCCACAACCCAGGCTACAGATCTTTGCCCAAACTTTAAATATCATGAAAATGCTTGAGGCAATGAATACTGTAAAGGTTATGGGCCCTGACAATATTCGAGCAATAGCACTGAAGATCTGTGTTCCAGAATTTGCCACAACCCTATCCAAGCTGTTTCAGTCCAGTGACAACACTGGCATCTATTCAACAATGTGGAAAATTGGCCAGATATGTCCTGCTCAGCAGCTGCTCAGAAATAACCTGTCACTGATGCTCAGTTTGGATTCCACCAGGATCACTCAATTCCTGAGCTCATTACAGACTTTGTTCAAAAGTGCTGAATTTCAGATGATGCAGGAGTGATGGCCCTTGACATCAAGGTCACATTTGACTGAATGTGGCATCAAGGAAACCTAGCAAAACTGGATTCAATGTGAATTAGGGGATAAACTCTCCATTGGTTGGAGCCAAATGAAAATGATTGTGGCTGTTGCAAATCAATCATTTCAGCTCCTGAACATCTCTGTAGGAGTTCCTCAGGGCCGTGCCCAGGACCAATCATCTTTAATTGCTTGATCAATGACCTTCCCTCCATCATAAGGTCAGAATTAGGGAGGTTTGTTGATGTTCGCACGATGTTCAGCACCATTCATGACTCCTCAGATACTGAAGCAGTCCACTTCCGAATGCAGCAAGACTTTGAAAATGTTCAGACTTTGGCTGAACAGTGGCAAGAAACATTAGCAATACACAAATGTTAGGCAATGAGCATTTCCAATGAGAGCCATTCTAACCAACTGACATTCAAAGGAGCTACCATTACTGAACACTGCAAAGAGAATTTTGCAGGAAGAGAAAACGCATCTCTTGATTCCCCAGAACTTGTCTACTATGTACAAGGTACAAGTCAGGAGTGTGATGGAATGCCTCCCTCTTGCCTGGATGAGTGCAGTCCCAACAACACTCGAGATGTTTGACACCATTCAGGTCAAATCCACTGCTTGATTGGCACCACATCCATGAACAGTCATTCCTTCCATCACCGACACTCAGAAGCAGCAGTATGTACCAACTACAAGATGCACTGGAGGAATTCACCAAAGATCCTTAGTCAGTACCTTCCAAACTCACATACATTACCATCCAGATGGGCAAAGACAGCAGAAACGAGGGAACACCAGCAGCTCCCCTTCAACCCAATCATTATCCAGACTTGGAAGCATACTACCCTTCCTTCAGTGTCAGTAGGTCAAAATCCTGAAATTCCCTCTTAATATCACTGTATGTATCTGCCCCTCCCCCCACCCCCAGCTGCAGCAATTCAAGAAGCTACTCTCACCATTTTATCCAGATTATTGGGGATGAGCTGACTCAGTCGGCAATATTCCATGAAAGAATAAAAATGATCCCCCTCCTGGCTTATATATTGTCATGGATGAATTTGTAAAGTCAGGAAGTGTGTTACTCAACACAGAATTCCCACCATCTGACAACAAATTGTTACCAGGGTTTTTTGTCCCTGTAGTTCGTAACATTCATCCTGACTGATTTTACGTACAGATTGTCTTAACCAAAATCCTTCCGTCCCACACATCCTTATGTCAACTTTATTTTCATAGCTATTCTTCTTCTTTCTCTGTGGCTTTTTAAACAGATGTGTACTCTGGAATATTTATTACTTAACATTAGTCACCTTATTTCCATGCTGTTGTCATAGCAATTTTATCAAATCCATTTATCTCTATTTGCATCATTAATTTGTCTTTTTTTTTGTAATGCTTCATTCTAAAGAGACTTTAATTGTATTTTATCACTAACTTTGTATGGACCTTATTTACTCAAGCACAGTAACCGTGAAACTCTCAGTGCCTTCAAGTCCCACACTATTTCTCTTTACCAAAGTCATTCTTACCTTTCTTACCTTAACTTTTCACTTTGAAGTTCTAAATTTTCTGCACTCAAATCTCAGTTAGTTTAAAGTCTTATTCATAGTCATATTATACAACTTGCTGGGACACTGAATTAAGCCCAGTTTAAGTGGAGCCCATCTTAATGGAACAGCTAGCTCCCCTTTTTCCCAGTAATGCTGCTGGTGTGTCATGTATCAAAACTCACACCACTCATAGTCATGCAAAATTTCACCAGTTATCTTCATTTCACTCACCATTGTTGCTTGATCTGATGAATATTTCCAGCACTTTCTCTTTGTATTCATGTGATATTTATATCATGTGGAATAAGATCTAACAATGGAGTTTTCAGGAAAGTGTTCAAGGAAATACCAATCTGATCATCAATGTTTTAATAAAAGATCAATTTGTAAAGGTAAAATTGGACTATGACTCAGTGCAGCTATTCATTTTAATAAGGGCCAAAGCACTCACTTGAAAAATATCTCAGAGCTATCATCAAGTTGCAATATGCCTGCCAGTGAAGATGCATGTGGTTGCAAATTGTAACTGGATTTGACATCCTATTTCAAATCAGCCATGAAAGTATTGCAAGTGAGCACTTGCTTCGTCAATGAACTGCACAATGGAAAGATCATTGGGTGCAGACATATGCTGCTGGGTGTTCTGAGGAATTGGGTTTATTATGCTTCAGAGGCCTTGCATAGTCTGGAAAGGGTTGTCAAGTTGTGTACATCATTGAAGGTCAGGAATATTGTACAGAAGCAGTGCAGCTAAGTTAAAAGTACAGTCATATGCTCTGAATGAAAAGTCGTTTGAGGTGTTTGAATGACAGTGTTTGAGGTTGGGCACTGATGAGTTAATGCTCTTTCTTCATTTGATTTAGTACATTTTCTTCAAGCAGGGCAAGATGAAAGGGATGAGTTCTCAAGTGGCAAGTTTCAAAGGGCCAGCAGGAAGTTACAGGTTAGAACGTTATGACATATTATTTATTAGATGCCGGAATCTAATCAAGGGTTACTGAGTTTTTAAAATTAAAATTAAGATGCATTAAGATAAATTAAGAGTGTGGCATATAGACTTCAATCTAGTTGAGATGTTTGAGTGGTTTATAAATTAATTAACATATTCCTGGATGTGACTTATAGGCTGGAATCTAATTGAAGAGTGATTTAAGGACAGCAAATTTAGCAGGGAATGTTGTAGAAGTGTGAGATCAGAGGTGAGGGACACAGGACAGAATGGGGTGTCCTTGACATATTCAGATGCTTGGATAAATAATTGTTGTACAGACATTATGCTTCAGCTGATCAGAACAGAGCAATAGCTTTAGGAGAGCACTTTGTATGCATTGCAAAGAACTGATGCATTGAGTGATATAAGTGGGTTAAGTGTCAACGTGTTAAAAACAATGGGAAGTTCATCAGTAATCATGGGTATATTAGACAGGGAAAGAACAACTTATTCACAGGGGTGACAAAATACTTGAGTGGAGAGGAAGGTGAAGGACCTGGGAGCTTCAGATGGAAATTGGCTTGGGGTCTGTGTTACTTAAGCTGTCAGTGATGGTGAGAATGAACTCTGTGAATTCTTCATCAGCCAAAGCAGCACTGCCCTATTGAAGCAGGGATTTCATTTGCTTACCTCACCATTCAAGAAACAGTAAAAGATGGAGACAAAGAAGCCCTGTAAGGAGAGAAGAGACATTTTAAGAATCATCAAACATGGAATTCAACATTATAGATCCGTATAGATCATTTCCCCTTCACTGCAGGAATTGAACAAGTTTCAGGTACACCAAGAAATTAGACAAGTAGTTATATGTAGCTGTTGTAGGGGAATTGTTGGAGTCTATAATCAAGGATGAAGTAGCTGAACATCTTAAAAAATTTTCAGTTAATTAGGGTGAGCCAGCATAGATTCATGACAGATAGGTCATGATTGATAAACGTGAACAGGTGGCTGAAGTGGTGGACAGGGGAATGTCTATAGATGCTGTTTATGTGGACTTCCAAAAATGTTTTGATAAAGTTCCACATTAGAGACAGTTAACTAAGAATTGAGAGCAAATTGCTGATATGGTTAGGTAATTGGTAGGTGCTCAAACTGACTAGTGGTTTCCCACAACGATTAGGGTTTAGGGCCTCAATTATTCACATTACTTATTAAACACTTGAATAGTGGCATAGAAAGTCATATATCCAAAATTTGCTGATGACACAAAGTTAGGTGGCATTGTAGACAGTGTAGATGATAGCATAAAATTACAAAGGATAGACAGAATGATAGAACTGTGGGAGATGGAATACAATGTCAGAAAGTGTAAGATTATCTATTTTCAACTGAAAAAGGATAGCTCAGGGTACTTCATAGATGGTATGAAGTTAAATATAATGGATGTCCAAAGAGATTTGGAGGTTCAGGTGGACAGATCTTTAAAATGTCATGAACAGGTGCAGAAAATAATCAAGAAAGCTAATGGAATACTGGTCTTTCTACCCAGAGGACAGGAATACAAGGATGCAAAAGTTATGCAATACCCTGATTATACACCACTTGGTGTATTTAGGAAGGATATGTTGGCTTTGGAGGGAGTACCACATAGGTTTACAAGAATGATATCTGGACTAAAGGAGTTAATTTATGAGGATAGATAATACAAATTAGGCCTGTTTTCTCTAGGATTTAGAAGTTTAACAGGTGATCTGATTGATATTTTCAAGATATTGACAGGAAAAGACAAGGTAGGTGAAAATAAATTATTTCCACTAGTTGTTGGTGATTCTAGATCTAGGGGTATAGTCTGAGAATTAGGGCCAGACCATTCAGGAGAAATGTTAGGAAGAACTTCTCTACACATTTACGGAGTTAGATCATAGATCAACCATGATCTCATTAAACGATGGCATAGGCTTGAGGGGCATGTTCTTATGTTCTTATTATAAGTCACTTGGAGGATAAAAATGAAGAAGTGTTAAAGCAATTATAAAAGTCTTTAGTGAGACCACACTAGCATATGGTGTACAGTTGGGTTGATCTTCTGAATTAAGGAAGAATATATGTGTCCTGCAGGGAGCACATAGAAAGTAAGCTACACTGATTGCTGGAATACAAGGATTGTCCTATGAGGGGAGTAGACCATTTCTCTACTCCCCCGATGGTACAACAAGAGGTGGCTGCATTTCGAGATAAAATTTCTAAGGGGCGTGGATGTAGTATATTTGCATTTTCAAAAGGCTTTTGATAATATTCTTCATAACAGGGTAGTAGGCAGAGCATGGGATGGGGTAATCTGTTGGCATGGATTGGGAATTGGTTGACACTCAAGAACAGAGTGGGAATAAATGGGTGGCAGGCAGTGACTAGTGGGTTTCCACAATGATCATGGAACATAGAACATAGAACAGTACAGCACAGTACAGGCCCTTCGGCCCACGATGTTGTGCCAAACTTTTACCCTAATCCTAAGGTCTATCTAACCTCCACCCCTACCTTATACTATCATCCATATGCCTATATAATAGCCGCTTAAATGTCCCTAATGAGGCCGACTCCACTACCCTCTCCAGCAATGCATTCCATGCCCCTACCACTCTCTGAGTAAAGAACCTACCTCTGACCTCTCCCCTGTATCTACCTCCACTCATTTTAAAATTATGCCCCCTCGTAATAGCTACCTCCACTCTAGGGTGCCAGCTATTCATAATATTATAAATGACCTGGATGAGGGAACCAAATGTAACATTTCCAAGTTTGCTGATGACACAATACTGGGCAGAACAGTGAATTGTGAGGGGGATGTAAGGAGGTTTCAAGGTGATTTAGACAGTTGAGTGACAAACACATGGCAGATGCGGTACAATGTGGCTAAATGTGAAGTTATAGAGTCATAGATTCATATATCACAGAAACAAACTCTTTGGTCCAATTTGTCCATGCTGACCAGGTATTCCAAACTGAACGAGCCCCATGTGCCTGCGTTTGGTCCAAATCTCTCTAAACCGTTCTGATTCACGTACCTTCCCAAATGTGTTTTAAATGTTGTTATTGTACCCACCTCTACCACTTCTTCTGGCAGGTCATTCCACACATGTGCTTCCCTCTGTGTGAAAAAGTTGGCCCACAGTTTGGTGTGAAAAGCAGAAAGGAAGAGTATTATTTAAATGATGATATATTGGGAAGTATGATGTCCTAAGGGATATGAGTGTCCTTGTCCACCAGTCAATGAAAGTAAACAGGTAAGTGCAGCAAGCTATTGGCAAATGGTAAACTGGCCTTCATTGCAAGAGGATGAGTTCAAGTAGGGATGCTTCACTGCAATTATACAAGGACTTAGTGAGACCACACCTGGAGTATTGCATGCAGTTTTGATCTCACTACCTAAGAAAGGATATACTTGCCATGGAGGAAGTTTAGCAGAGGTTCATAATGCTGATACCAAGATGGAAGGACTGTCCTACGGGGAGAGATTGGTACAACAGGCCTTTTATTCACTAGAGTTCACTAAAGGATGAGAGGGTATCTGATTGAAATATGTAAATTTCTAACAGGGCTGGCCAGACTAGACATGGAATATGTTTTCCCTGACTGGGGAGTCAAGAACTAGGGGATACAGGATATGAGATAAATCATTCAGGACTGAGATGAAGAAACATTTCTTCACTCAAAGGGTAATAACCGGCAGAATTCTCTGCTACAGAAGGCTACGGAGGCCAAATCACTGAATATAATCAAGGAAGAGAAAGATAAATTTTTAGATTTTAAAAGCATCAAGAGGTATTGAGAGAATGCAGGAAAGTGACATTGAGGTAGAAGATGAAGAATGATCAGTTTGAATGGCGAGCAGGCCCAAAGGATTGAATGGCCGAATTGTGCTCCTAGTTTCTAATTTTCTGTGTTAATTAATCCATGAATGTCTTAGTGCACTATAATCGATAGTTTCCAACCATCATAGCAGGTAATGCAGCACAACAGACCTGTGAGCAAAATTATAGTTATTGGAACAAATGGGATAGTAGCAAAGTGAGTGCAAAATTGGTTAAATGGCAGGGAATAGACAGTGTTTGTTAATGGCTGTGTTTGGGCAAGGGAAGGTTTTAGTGGAGTTTCCCAGGCATCATGTTGGGACTCTTGCGTTTCCTGATAATATACTTTAGACCTTCATGTACTAGTTAAAATTTCAAAGATTGCAGATATGATACTCTCAACATTTTGAAATGTAAGGACTTGAAAAAAGAATAGAAAAGTTGTTGGAATAAACAGTCAGTTGGAAGATGAAATTTGATGTGGAGAACTGGGAAGTGGTTCATTTTGGTAGGAATAACACGGACAAACAATACAAAATAAGAGTATGATAGGCAGAGGGATCTGGGTGTACAGGTACACAGGTCACTGAAAGTGGCAATGCAGGTGGAGAAGGTAGTCAACAAGGCATATGGCATGCTTGCCTTCATTGGCCAGGGCATTGAGTTTAAAAATTGGCAGGTAATGTTGCAGCTTTACAGAACCTTAGTTAGGCCGCATTTGGAATATTGTGTTCAATTCTGGTTGCCATACTACTAGAAGGATGTGGTGGCTTTGGAGAGGGTACAGAAAAGATTTACCAGGATGTTGCCTGGTATGGAGGGCATTATCTATGAGGAGACGTTGGAGAAACTTGGGTTGTTCTCACTGGAACGACAGAGGTTGACGGGCGACCTGACAGAGGTCTGCAAGATTATGAAGGGCGTGGACAGACTGGACAGTCAGAAGCTTTATCCGAGGGTGGAACGGTCAGTTACTAGGGGGTATAGGTTTAAGGTGCGAGGGGCAAGATTTAAAGGTGATGTACGAGGCAAGTTTTTTACACAGAGGGTGGTGAGTGCCTGGAACTCACTGCCAGAGGAGGTAGTGGAAGTTGATATGATAGTGTCTTTTAAAGGGCGTCTTGACAAACAGATCAATCGAATGGGAATAGAGGGATACGGTCCCCAGAAGGGTAGGGGGTTTTAGTTGTGATGGGCAGCATGTCGGTGCAGGCTTGGAGGGCCAAAGGGCCTGTTTCTGTGCTGTAATTTTCTTTGTTCTTTAATCTAAAAATGGTTCAACTCTAAAGTGAATACAGGAGCAGAGGGACATGGGGATATATGTTTATAAGCAAGTCAAGGTGACAGGACAGGTTCATAGCACATCGTATATGAGGAGAATATGTTGAACTTGTTTTGACATCAGCTAGTGTATTGTGCACGGTTTTGGGTACTGTTATTTAGGAAGGCACTGGAAAGAGTACAGAGAGATACATGTGAATAGTTCCAGGGACAAGGTATGAAGATAGATTGGAGATGTTAGAAAGATTTTCCTTGGAGAAGGAAAATTTGATTAGAGGTATTCAAAATTATGAGGGATCTGGACAGAGTAGATGAGTGAAGTTTGTAAAAAGGATTGATTAAGGGCAAAAATGAAATACCATCATAGCTGATCTGCTAATGACTGAGAAAAGAGCCAAGCTTTTCACTTTGGACTCATCAGGACAGACTTAAGAATGCCAATTTTCAAAGGGACCAACAACCTATACCCGAGGAAAGGATGCTGATTGGTTGGCAAGTCCACTTTGATTGAGGTTTTGCCATGGAAATGCACCAGGGAATATTTGTCAGAAAAGCTTTCGTTTAATTCAAAAAGACATAATACTTGGATATATCCCTGCG